GCTTTGTTGAACAGATTTTTATCATCATTAACCCAGAGGGTTAGTAACTTAGGATAACCTAACAAGGCCACGTCATCAAACTAGTTTACTGACACTGAAGTTCTTTAATCATCTCCCTAAGATGAGGGCAGCACCAGTCTACTAATACAATAGTACCTAAATACTGCGAAGTGAAAAGGGGCAACGTGTTAAAGGAAACATGCCTAACGTTTCCACTAATCCATGGATCGAACCCCCGGTCCCTCAGTGCGCGAGCCGTGGCAGCTACCTGTTGATCCACGAGTACCCGGAAACACAAACTAGAGCATGAATATACATCATAAACATTACACATGCATCATCAATGAATTCGCATTACACAGAAGTAATACTGCATGGGGGATTGATATGGGGGGGGGGCGTAGCTCTAACCTAATACTCCATAGGGAGGGTAGCTCATATTCCCTGGATCAACAATCCTTCACCTTCAAGGCATCCCCCACCCCTTCTCAATCCTTCTGAAGGGCCTGAATACGTAGAAAACGATAACAAAGACGGGAGAACCTGCATGGAAACAAACAGGTCTAGGGTAAACGGGAAAGTACGATCTATATGGCGCCGCTGCCTGCCTCAGCCAGCCCTCATGGCGACACTGACGCCGAAGTAATGGCTTTATCATCATTCCAAGCCCATCCTGAGAGTGGCAGTGGATGAACATGCACGAATAAAATATGCAGAAAAGCATTCAATGGGAACAAGTTTCCCTCAACTTCACTAATTCAACCGTGAGCAAATCTAATGAAAACTTGTTCTGCATGTATAAACATGAAGTAACGCGAAAGTAGGCCTACTGTTCCTTGCAAAGCAGGTTCAACTAACTCAACCACATCCACCCCTACACCCGTCCGACCTATTTAATATTAAAGCTACCCAAAGTTTCTGCATTAATAACGTTACCTGGGAGTTTGTTCCACTCCTCTACAACTCTATACTCTAATACCCATACCTGTGGCCATTACGCCTCTACACCCAGTGGACGGACAACCACGATCAATCTTTATTGCATTAACAATATTTGAATTTCCCTTTCACTTAGGATTTTTTTTTCTCTACATGTCACCTGGCTTTAGATGTAATTATATAATTCTAGTGTATTTCTTTTCTTTAGATATTATCATACTAAGCAAGGAAGTTAGGTGTGGCGTGTGGGAGTGGGACGAAACAATGGGGAGTGGCACCAAGCAATGGGAGTGGCACCAAGCAATGGGGTTATGGGAGGGCCTCTTAAGCTATCTCGGCAGTATACGAGTTTCTTGGGCCTTCTCATGCCCACATGAATGTGTGGAGCTCCGCTCCAATATTTACTCATCCAGCGTTTCATCTGTCAGACTAATATACCATAACTAATATCATCGTTAATGGCTCATTCGTGTTTTTATCTTCCGCCATGCTACTGTATCCTATCTCCGACTAACATATTATTGTCTTTCCAAAGTGATCATCTCCACTGATCTCTGTACTGTATATTAATTCATTTTAAGATTTCGCTTTCTGGTAGGTTTGTGAGATAGGACATTAAGATAACTTATTCCTGTAACTACAAACAGATCATTCATACGCTCTAGCAAACGGGTAAACGCATTCACACGAGAAAATATAAAGTGGTGAATGTCAAGAATTTGCAATGTATGAACGTGGGTCGCGTCTAGCCCAGCATCGTGCCAACAGCTACGTGCTGGCAACAGCTGTGTGGCCTTGTTGACCATGAATGTGTGTTGGTATGAGAAAATATGGATAATAGGGGTGTGGGCGGACGTGGGTGCTGGACAAGTGTGGTTGGGCTAGATGTGGACGTGAGGTGTATAGGAAAGTTTGGAAAGTGTGGGGAGGGGTGCATGTAAAGGGGTGGGAGATTTAGGTACAAGATTACCCATTTATATCTACAAAAGCAGAACTAGACTCGATGGCTTGTGTTCCGTCTTACGTGTTTAGTATATTTCTTTTGTTCAATTGTTATTTGTTTTGGCAGATTGCTTCCCTTTTAGATCCCACTCCATAATTTTAGCTTTTCATTCAAGAGAAAACCTCAACTATATTTATTGCTAATTAAAACATTCATGTAACTGATACATGAATTTTTGACATTAATATGAATAAGCAGAGGATAAAACTGCAAGCATATATACCTAGCTATACCTTTATTTTTGATATGCCCTAGTCGAGTAGTTTTTCTGTTCTTAGGAGCTCGGTCCTGGGGCCAAGCTTAAAATAACTAGTTAAACACTGACCAAGGCAGTGTTTGACTAAGGTTAACGTTACTATGTTAATTTACAGAAGTTACTATACAAGACAATTTAACAAAAATAGCTTGTTAATAAACCACCTGTTGAGCGCCGCTCCCACCCTTATAGGCTACAAATTCCCATCCCCCTTTTCCTCATCATTCGCCGCCCACGTCCCCAGTATTATGTGCCCTCCCACCATCACGATATAAAAAGGTTAAGGTCACAAATACCTTTCCCGAGCACCACACCAGTAACTGCTTCACTACCACCACCTACACACCCCTCTCAACAGCAAAATATATCTTTTCAGGAATGTATATAAAAAAAATGGTATAATGATGGGACTACCACTTCATATATATAAATTCTCAACTTACTGGAAGCGAAGTGTGTCAAATGGTATATATTCGATAGTGGCCAGGTTGTAAAGTAGCTACTTACCTGGAGATGATTCTGGGGATTATTTCCCATGTGTAACTCATCGACTTCTCACTTTTCAGACAGGAAACTGTGGATACATGTAACATTACATATCCAGTGGGAAACTGTTTAAAACCTTGCACGCTCTTACTGAGTTGCCGCAATCTTTGCACTGTCTACTGCGACTTTTGTTCACAAGTTATTTGCAGAAATCTCTCCTGCCAGTGATCCCGGAGTAAATTTGAATTATTTTATGTATTCCCAATCTTTAAAATTTTTAGTCTGAATATATTTAGACAATTAAATAATCTGAACAATCACAACAATTTTCCAGGACTGAAATTACTAGCGCGCTAAAGAGTATCATTTGCTTAGCATCCCTTAATTAAGCTATTGTTACCCAGACTTTTTGTTACGGTAGCAAAAGCAACACTAACGTGTTCCTTGAACAAAACTTTTAAAACAAAATCGGATACATCAGCAGTGTGCTCCTACACTATGCTACATAATTACAGTGGGAGCAAAAGTTAGCTGTTTCCCCTGTCATATTCCATCATGCAGGACGGGGTTCATATAAAGTGCTGAAATCTGTCAGCCTGAGCTAGAGAAGGAAATTCAAGCATTTCAGCAAGGTAGATAGGGTTCATTTACGGGAGCTTCAGAGGTTTCCTTCCAGCATAGCCGAGTTACTATCATTTGGGAATTGCCATCTCTCCGGAGAAAAATTAATTTTTATGAAGATATTTCAATCATTCACGAGCAAAAGCAAGAGAAATTGTATACAGGAGGCAGAGGAAAGAAAACCCGGGTGGAGGAAGAGAAAGATGGACGTCAGTAGATATCCAACCCCACACTTGTACAAACATGTATACACAAAATATATATAAATTGAGCACGCGAGCACACATAAAACACACACACACACACACAAACATACAAACACAAAACAAACAGCCTTACGACATGGTTATTCCCAGGTTCCTTACGTTTCTCTTCAGTGACTAATGTGGTCCGATTGAGTTTTATACTCTTCCAACTTTTATTTCATTTGACAAAAGTTCACTAAATGCAGCATATGAGTCTCAGACGTTAAACATCTGACACGATGCATATTAATTCGTAATGTAAATACTATTATTAAGCTGAGTGTTAAGCTCACTCAAGTTTCAGATTACGAATAAAATTACTATCCACACAAGCAACTCACTAAATACTCAATCCTTTAAAAATGGCAACCAATCAAAATATCACCTGGGCATACACCAGTCTCAATTATATAAATATTTTCAGCATTATTATTCCATTCCTGCGAAAGTATAAAACCCGTAGGGTTCGTTAAGCAACCTTGCACTAATAGACATTTTAATTACCGTCACTATATTTCTGGTCCAAGTTCTATATTTACATAGTAGATATCCCCAGATAAGGCAATTATGGAGATCCGGTCTTTGTGCGAGTTGGCCGATAATTCATCCCCAAAAATGTACATTTGGATGGTTTTTGTCATGGCAATATTTTATGTTGTGCGAATGTAGGAAAGTTATCCTAACCTAATGAAACCAAACCAAAAACAACTTAGCCCTAGCGTAACCTAACCTTACTCCGCCAACGGTACATACGAGACTAGTGCGCGTTTTTGTTTACATTCGTCTTTACGTTCCTTGTGATTGGTCAGGAGCATCCATACAAACCCTGGTAGGGTAAATAGGTCATTTAACACCTGGGGAATGGGAAGCAATCAGGTTCGATCCAAGATGGGCAGGGCATGGGGGGGGGGAGTAAAGTACAATTCCTTGGATCAAGAACCCTGCACTAACATTGATCGAACATATAAAGCTGCACACAACTCGCCCTTCAGGAGTGGATTGGAACAACTCATCCAGCACCTTGGCACGCATCAAGACTCGTCAAATATTTTATGCAGATTAGCTTTCTTAAAATGAGCGCAGCCTGGAGACCTGAATCTGACCAGGACACCAATGATGTACCGAACCCAAAAACGTTATAACAAGACTCAAAACTAATTTTCAACATTTTCCTGGCTTGCTCAAACTGCCAACATTTTCCTGGCTGCTGAACAACTGCTAAAATTCGTAATTGACGCCACAATTTATGCAACAAACGATTTCTTTTTTTTCACTGAATGTATAAGCCTAGTTACCAGTACCATTAGTAAAATACCAGGTGACCAAACACCAGGCAAAGCAACAGCAGCCACACACATTAGCATCAGGTGGGTGGCACCTTGAGTCAAACACGCCACTCCCTTACTTTCACACTAACTGAGCATCGCATGAAGTATTCGTCAATACTCACGATCTGAATTAGTTTGAGGGAGCCGCTGAGGGTACAGAGGGCTTTGATGTTGAATGTCAGGCCCATCTTGCTTAGAGTTTTTGAGGTTTGTTAAATAGTTAACGAGTATGCTGCGCGGATAGCTGCGTCAACTGCGACTGTCAGTTGAAGTCTGGTTTATACTCTCAGTTATCGTCGCCGGGGAACCTCAGAGCATCTCGTACACTTAAACTATATTATATAAAATTGGGCTTAATAAAATAATTTCGAGAGCAAAAATTATCCTATAGGTATACATATTTGAGGCTTATTTACTAAGAATTAACGTACCGCACTGCGTGTTAGTATGTCCGGGTTTTAGTAAGGAATCACTTGTCTGGTAGCGAGTATTCGTGTTATGGCGCTGACTTCAAATGCTGCTAAATCAATTTTCTTCAATATTTTAGGTTAATTTCTTTATGTATCCAATGTCACTTTCTTAAAGCTGCTTACAAACTTACAATATGATATTATCTACATGTTAGGCTAGATTACTAGGTTAGATAAGCTTAGGTTAGCTTATGTTAGACAGGTTTAAGTAATATTTGGACTATGTTAGGATATGTTAGAGTAAGTTAGGATATCTTAGGTTAAGTTATGATTCGTTCGGATTTTTAACCCGGAGGGTTAGCCACTCGGGATAACCCAAGAAAGTTAGTGCGTCATCAGGGACTGTATCGTCTTATTTCCACTGGGGTCCTTCAATCTTGTCCCACAGGATGCCACCCACACCAGTCAACTAATACCCAGATACCTACTTACTGCTAGGTGAACAGGTACAGCAGGTGTAAGGACATGCTCAATGTTTCCACCCGTGCCAGGGATCGAATCACGGACACTCAGTGTGTATGAGGCGAGTCACAAACCTATTAAAATACGTTTATTTACAATTATGCAAAAAAAAAAAAAAAAAAAAAAAAAGTCTGGCAACAAATTTTATATTCATAGAGAAGCGGAAAACCCGTCAGGTTCATACATCGTCTGGGGAATGAGAATAGACCTGATCCGAGGAAGGGGAAGAGATATTCCCGTGGAACCGGTAGCTGATGTTAATGAGGGGGGAAGCGCTAAACTTGCAGGAATCATTATTATGGAGGAGCGCTAAGGCCGTAGAAATTATACAGCGCCTGAGGGGGGCGGGGATGGAAGGCATTCAGGTTCAATTCTGGGAACTGGAGCACAGATCCAATTCCCTAGATCAAAAGCCCCTCACCAGCATCAAGGAACCTCCCTTGAGGGGTTATAGGAATCATATAGCGCGTGTATGATGAGAGAATCATATTGAATCGAGAGCGGTGCGGAAATCGAACAATTCGGATTTTGAGCACTTTTTTTTTCGGCGAAATTACCCCTCAAGAAAATCATGTGTATGAGACGCGTTCACCCGCCAGCGACACACTAAAGTCTGCTCTCTCGCTCTCATTGAGTTAGGAATACTCTGCACATTCATCCATTAATTTTTGTGCTTGTTTATTGATTGTGACTGTGAAATAAGCCACCATGGGGTCAAAGAAAGTTCACAGTGCCAGTCCTTTGGTAAAGAAGGTGAGAAACACGACAGAATTCAAGAAGAACTTGTAGCAAAATATGAAAGTGGCGTACGTGGCCGAGCTCGCCAGAATGTATGGCAAGTCGAGTTAGCGGGAGATAGTGTTTCGGAGGGGGATAATTTGGGAGAAGGCAAAGTTGCATGCGGATCTCGTGAATATAATGCCTGGAACGAGTGCTGCTGTTAATAAATTTAAGGCCAGCAAATGCTGGTTTGACAGATTTAAGAAGCGTAGTGGCATGCACAGTGTTGTAAGGCATGGCGAGGCTGCAAGTTCAGACAAACGTGTGGCTGAAAAATTCGTGCACGAATTCAAGGAGTACGTAGAGGCTGAAGGATTCGTCCCGCAACAAGTGTTCATCTGTGACTAAACAGGCCTCTTTTGGAAGAAAATGCCAGAGGACCTATATCACGCAGGAGGAAAAGGTACTGCTAGGACACAAGCCTATGAAGAATAGGGTAACTTTTGTTCTGTGGTAACACTAGTGGGGATTTCTAAGTGAAACTTTTACTCGTGTATAACTCTGAAAATCTCCAAGTGTTCAAGAAAAACAATGTCATGAAGAATAAATTGTGTGTGATGTGGAAGGCTAACAATAAGGCATGGGTTACAAGGCTAATTTTCGTTGAGTGGGTCAATGAAGTGTTTGGCCCGAGTGTGTAGAAATACCTCCTGAAAAATAAATTGCCATTTAAGTGCCTCCTGGTAATGGACAATGCTCCTGCTTATCCTCCAGACTTGGAAGACCTATTGTTTGAGGAGTGTAATTTCATCACAGTGAAGTTCTTGCCCCCTGGACCAGCAGGTCATTTCAAACTTCAAAAAACTCTACACCAATGCAATATTTCAAAGTGCTTTGAAGTGACCTCGGACACTGAACTGACTAAGAGTTCTGGAGGAATCGCTTCAATATCCTGTTGCATAATCCTTATAGATAAGGCTTAGCAGGGAGTGACTTCCAGGACTTTGAACTCGGCTTGGAGAAAACCGTGGCCAGAATGTGTCCAAGAGAAGGATTTTGAAGGGTTTGAGGCTAATCCTGAGGACCTTACACCTATTGTGGAATGTATTGTGTCTTTGGGGAAGTCCTTGGGGTTGGATGTGAGTGGCGAGGATGTGGAAGAGTTGGTAGAGAACCACAGGGAAGAGCTAACCACTGAAGAGCTGCAGGACCTTCATCTGGAACAGCAACAGACTGCAGCTGAGGATATTGCTTCAGAGAAGGAAGAGAGGGGAGAGACTGTGCCTTCTTCAGTGATTAAGGACATGTGTGCAAAGTGGAGTGAGGTGCAAAGTTTTGCAGAGAATTATCACCCTAACAAAACTGTTGTATGCAGTCTGCAACATGTTCAATGACTGTCTTGTCCCATTTTATGCAAATCTTAAAGAGATGCCAGAAACAGAGCTCGCTGGACAGATTTTTAGTGCGACAGGGGTCCAGTGCCAGTAAAAGACAAAGAAGTAACCCCAGAGAGAGCTTTGATACCTAAAGTCTTATGGAGGGGGATTCCCCTTCCAAACAATAAGCTCTCCTCCCTCTCCCCTCGCCTTCAATATGCCACCAAGAATCTTCAATAAAGGTATGTAAGGTTTATATTATATTTATCATTGTTTTCTGTAAAATTATAGTTATTCTTTAAAAAATTTAATTTCTGTGAATATTTTTGGGTGTCTGGAGCGGATTAATTGGATTTACATTGTTTCTTATGGAAAATATTACTTCGGTTTTCAAGCATTTCGGATTTCCAGCAACCTTCCGGAACAGCAGTCTCTCTGTTTCAGTTGTTTTATTTATGCATACTTGTTTTATTCATCTCCCTTGTAGGTATTCTATATCATTAGCTGCTATCAATATTTACTGTGTGTACTCGCCTATTTGTGGTTGCAGGGGTCGAGTGTAGCTCCTGGCCCCACCTCTACTGGTTGCTACTAGCTCCACTCCCTGCTCTCAGAGCCTTGTTGTAGCCCTCCTTAAAGCTATGTATGGATCCTGCCTCCACTACATCACCCCAGGGCTGGATTTATAAGGAGGCAAAGGGGGCAACTGGCCTGGGGCCCCCTCCCAGAGGGGCCCCCAGACAAAGGACTTCCTTTAAAATAAAATGTAATAAAATTAGTTTAATAAAGATAAGATTTCGTTCGGATTTTTAACCCCGGAGGGTTAGCCACCCAGGATAACCCAAGAAAGTCAGTGCGTCATCGAGGACTGTCTAACTTATTTCCATTGGGGTCCTTAATCTTGTCCCCCAGGATGCGACCCACACCAGTCGACTAACACCCAGGTACCTATTTGCTGCTAGGTGAACAGGACAACAGGTGTAAGGAAACGTGTCGAAATGTTTCCACCCGCCGGGAATCGAACCCGGGCCCTCCGTGTGTGAAGCGGGAGGGGCATCAGAAAATAGAAAAAGTGCCCTCACCCCCTCTCCCTTTGAATAACTTGACTAAACTATTTCTGATTAGTGCCAATTTAGAGGTAAATGACCAGATCGTGAGGTCAGAGGTGACCAGGGTGCATGCATGTTGTGTGGTGGTTGTGGTGTGTGTGTGTGTGTGTGTGTGTGTGTGTGTTGTGTGTTGTGTGTGTGGTGCTTGTGTGACTACGACCTCAGAAGGGCTATTTCTGGTTAGTATCAGTGTACGATCAATGACCAACAAGCAAGCCAATTGGTGGCCTGGGGCTGTGTGTATCTGTGTTCGTCGACCACTTTTAGTGCTAGGCAATGGTGTCTGTTTTAGATCTGCATGTTCCTCACAAAGGTTTGCAATATATCATCGTTTTGCAATTACATCTTGCACATCCACAAACACACACGTGTGTGTGCGTCTCATTAACTACATTATCATTAAATGTCAAAGATCTGAATACAGTGGACCCCTGAGTTTCGGCAGCCTCGACTTTCGTGAAATTCGACCTTCTGCGAGTTTTTTTTTGGAAAAATTTGGCCTCGAGTTTCGTGAAAAAACTCGTGCTTCAGCGACCGTCCAGTACCCGTCCGCCCGTCGCCGTGCACACAAAGCCAGTCTCCCACGCCATTCACTCTCAGTGTGCCATTGTTTACCAACACGTGACCATCACCCCGCGGGTTCATACATTTCATAATAATCCATTGTTTTTTGCACTTGCAACTGCTAAATAAGTCATCATGGACCCAAGGAAAGCCAGTGCAAGCCCTTTGGTAAATAAAGTGAGTGACGGGGATGTGGAAGAGTTGGTGGAGGACCACAGGAAAGAGCTAACCACTGACGAACTGCAAGAGCTTCAACTGGAACAGCATCAGACCACAGCCGAGGAACTTGCTTCAGAGGAGGAGGAAGAGGGGGTGGATGAGGTGCCTTCTTCAGTGATTAAGGACGTGTGTGGAATGTGGAATGAGTTGCAAAGTTTTGTTGAAAAGTATCACCCTGACCAAGCTGAAACAAGCCGTATCTGCAACATGTACAATGACAGTGCTGTGTCCCACTTCAGGGAAATCTTAAAGAAACGCCAGAAAAAGACCTCTCTGGACAGATATTTTGTGTGCCAGGGGTCCAGTGAGTCAAGTTGTACCCAGTGGCATTAAAAGAAGAAGGAAAGTAACCCCAGATAAGGACTTGCTACCTAAAGTCCTAATGGAAGGAGATTCTCCTTCCAAACAATAGGGTACACCTTCCTCCTATCACCTCCTCCCACCTTCCATCCACCCAGAAGTCTTCAGTAAAGGTAAGTGTAATATTATTATTTATTTTAAATGCATGTACTTGATTTCTGATTGTTTTCATTATGTAAATCTTTATTTAATTTGAAAAAATATTTTAATATTTTTGGGTGTCTGGAACGGATTAATTTTATTTCCATTATTTCTTATGGGGAAAATGGTTTCGAGTTTCGTGAATTTCGACCTTCGGTGGGGGCTCTGGAACATATTAATCACGAAACTCGAGGTCCACTGTATTTGTTTTTTTTTTTTCAGAAGACCCAGTATACCACAGAAAATTCACTTGTTAGGAGCTCAGAAAAGGAAGATTTCCAAAGAATCAAGCGAAAGAAATGCTGCTGTCTTGGCAAAAACAAAACGCCTTACAGAATTTTTCTCTGCTTCTGTAGTGGAAAACATAGAAGCTACTAATGAAGAACCAGTACCACTATCAGATGATTCTTCTGAGGACCCACCCACATTCCCAAGTACATCTGCAGAAAATGAAAATAACATACCAATTCAAGATAGTTAAGGGGATGAACCACCACAACCACATTCTACAGATACTTCTGTAGACATGAACAGTGAAGAGCCACCATGTGATTCAGACCCAGCCACGTGGTTTCCTGTCAGAGAAAAACATGTATCCTTTTGGTTAACTGCCACTATAGATAAATCCCGAAAGTGACACACCGAAGATATAAATAAATACACATCGGTAATTATTATATAGTGCAGATGGAATATATTACAAACTGAAAATTAGTCAGGTCTTAAAGTCAATAAAATTAAGAAAAATAAAATAAGACTCTTCGAAACCTAACTTTTTTTTCGAAAACTGCTGTTTATCATTCCTTTTAGTTAATTTCTTATTTGTAATTCAATTTAATATCCATGGTTAGGGCCCCCTCCCCAGGTCTAAATCCAGCCCTGATAAAAACTAAGCACTAAACCCACAAGAGATGTCAAATACGTAAGTCCAACATCAAGGAGACGGTTTTCAACAAGTCCATGGACATTGTTCATTAGAATTACGAATATGTGGCAATCGAATGCATTGGACGAGTGTCCAGGGTGTTTCAAATATCAAGGTTCAAGCTACGTTAACACAGTAACAAGACTGTGTTAGTTCCTTACTAATTACCAAGTGGCAACCATCCCTCCTCCCCATCACCCTCCCACCAGTAACAACTACTCACCCCCAAACCCCCCACCAGCAACCAACCCCCGACCCTTCCCCTAACGACCTTCCCCCCCTCTCCACAAACAACCACTGACATCACCCTCCCTCCCCCAGGTCAATGGCACCATTTAGCCATGAAGGTCAAGAACGGTGGCGCCACTAGTCACTACTCTGCCATCCACCACACCACCAACACCTCCAGCTCTTCCAGTTCCACAACCTGTGGTAACAAACTTGGATTACTCCAATTTCATGGTAATCTTTGATAGATCAGCTTTGAAAATATTTTAGGAATTTTTCTTTCTACCAAATGTTGAACATTCTAAATACATAGCAAGACTTAAAACTTAATTTTGCAGCTCATGATATGGTTTGCAGACATTGTTTTGTGGTGTTGCTGCTGGTGATGAGATCTCTAAAGACCTGCAGCTGCCCACAACATGGACTTCACGACACAGCAGCTGCCCACAACATGGACTTCACGACACAGCAGCTGCCCACAACATTGACTTCACGACACAGCAGCTGCCCACAACATGGACTTCACGACACAGCAGCTGCCCACAACATGGGGAATATCTTCAACCTACAGGATTCGATGTACTTAAGATCCATTAATTAAAATGTAATAAATAAAGTCTTTTCTTTATCACAGCAATGTTCAAGGAAAAACACATACAAAGGAACGCGAGGAACGCAAAAGAAAGTTATTTCATTTTTCTGAGACAAGCCTCAACTGCTGTATTTGTCAGCAGCAGGACAAGTCACACAATTTGGGAGCTTGAAGCTCGGGGGGTGGGGAAACTACTCCAACCCTACTAACAATAGTTGTAAGGAGGCGGATAGCCTCAATACTGCCATTATTAATAGTTTGAGGTATGCTACATTTAAGGTTATCCTCATAACCTTACTCTTTCCTGTATTCACTTTTAATTTTTTTTCTTTTGCATACCCTACCAAATTCATCCACCAATCTCTGCAACTTCTCTTCAGAATCTCCCAAGAGCACAGTGTCATCAGCAAAGAGCAACTGTGACAACTCCCACTTTGTGTGTGATTCTTTATCTTTTAACTCCACGCCTCTTGCCAAGACCCTCGCATTTACTTCTCTTACAACCCCATCTATAAATATATTAAACAACCACGGTGACATCACACATCCTTGTCTTAAGGCCTACTTTTACTGGGAAAAAATTTCCCTCTTTCCTACATACTCTAACTTGAGCCTCACTATCCTCGTAAAAACTCTTCACTGCTTTCAGTAACCTACCTCCTACACCATACACTTGCAACATCTGCCACATTGCCCCACTAATACCAATCTAAAATCACCCCCTCCCCTAACTATACTCAGCATCAATTCAGGTAAGTGAATCCTTTCTGCTAACACTTCACATCACAGAGGTTTCCATTATTTTCATCATTAACGTCTGGTGCCAGAAGCGTTAGACTTCACTTAGAAACTATCAAACCAACTGCAACTCTGAACGATATTTTTATATTCATAGGAACCTGAACGCCGCTTAAATATTTTAAAATGATGAAATTGTGTAAACTCAATGAATCAATATTTAACTTTGCACAGTTTGGCCAAAGGCATAAAATACGTAGAACACCCACCACAACCACTGCCCGAAACCCACCAACATCCCCACGGAAACCACGTGCAATAAGATTCCATACAGCTTCTGAAGGTCGTTGGTGGGTTCCCAGGCCCACAGTTCTACGTAATCTATGCCTTCGGGGGAGATTACTCTCCCCTGCTATATGCATTCATAATGCATATAGCAGATTCTCCAGTTCTATACCTTCCTCATCCTACTTAACACCACCAAATTCTAAGTTATTTTGATAGAAACTAAATAATTGTAGACTTACAAAGTGTTATATATATACACCACAACTATGCAGCATACTCCAGGTATAGGCCTTACTAATTTGCAGAGCTGTGGCGGCGCAAGGGGGAATGAAGGTAAAGGCGAGATCAAGGGGGGTCTAGGCGAGATCAAGGGGGTCTAGGCTGAGATCAAGGGGGTCTAGGTAAGATCAAGGGGGTCTAGGTAAGATCAAGGGGGTCTAGGTAAGATCAAGGGTGTCTAGGTAAGATCAAGGGTCAGGTAGATCAGGTCAGGTAGTCAAGGGGGTCTAGGTAAGATCAAAGGGGTCTAGGTAAGATCAAGGGGGTCTAGGTAAGATCAGTCTACAAAGTCTCTAAATATATACTGTATAACCCAATTTCAAAACAAATAACCCCACCACCCCGACGCTCTAATACCGACTCTGGAGTCATAAGCGTTAAACCCACAATTAACTTGAATTTGGGACCCTATACAACCCTACTGAAAATAGGAATGTGGTTAATTCCACATTTCTGAGGAACTTGTTGATTTTTCCGACTAATATATTCTACCCAAGGAAAATTTATCCCGTCATGTGAAGCTAAAACTTTGGCTGTGTAGTTTTAAAAATAGGTTATAAAAATGAGTGGTTGAGTTGGACTTGCCTAACATGGGCCAATAGGCCTGCTTCAGTGTTCCTTATGTCTTAATGGATATGCCTGATTTAATAGGCTTTCTTTACACCCGGCATCAAGACATCTACCATTACCCTCACCACAGTAAACTAAGTATAATTATTAACCCGGTAGATTGCACAATTGTGTCAATCAGGTCAGGATGACATCCATGACATTTTTATTAGGGTATTTATACTCTCCCAGGATGCGACCCCTACCAGTAGGCCTGCTCAGTGTTCCTCCTTTATGTGAACAGTGCCAATGGATATAAGGGAACATGTCCACTTGTGCCCGGGATCGAATCTCAGTTGTTCAGTTGACGCCACTAACAGATGAGCCATGATATATCACTTACACATTTCATCTCTGCTTCCTACGATCTTGCAGGATGGGTATAGACTGCACAATAAAGATATTTCACTAACTAAAAATTCCTAAAATATAATCAGTCTTCAATTCTAAGCTTTACAACCCATTTCTCCAATTTTTATTTTCACCCCCTTCAAGGGAACTTATAGAATTCATTCCTGTATTTCCTAGCCAGAGATTTCATCTCTGGTCAGGAGACAAGTTAATACTTCCCACTACGCTACTCTTGATATCAATTGCTTGAAATCTTTCCTTTACTCTCCCCTACCAGCCTCCCACCTAATGCAATTACTATCTGCTTCAATAACAAAACTTTAGTGGACTTATAACCTGGAAATACCTTACAAGCTGGCCCTGCCCACCTCTAACGACGTCTCCAACTGCTACATCTCCATATAACACTAAATGTTATGGGTCAGACCGTTTACTAGTGTGGTTGTCTCCACCCATCAGACTGATCCAAGTTGCTGTGTTCATCAATGTTGCAGCAGACACAGCCAGGCACAGCACTCCTGTTACCACACCTGAAACAAAACATTCGCATTATAACCATGAACATTGCACACATTTATAGGCAAACATTACCAAGTAATATAAACTAGTAACATTACTGCTTGACTGATACTCATTAATGTTTAACATAGTAAGCAATTTGTTTACATGGAAGTCTATCTGGATCACAAGGAGCAAGTTCCTTGGATCAAGAGACCTTCACTAAGTTATTTTTCAATAATGGGAAAAAATAGCCCAGAACTGGATACACCATTATGGGTTATGTAACGCCTAGTGTGAGAGTTATTGTTTGATCAGAGGAAGGGGAGTAGCTCCAGGTCCTCGCATCAAAACCCCTCCACTATGGTCAATCCCCACCCCTCTCTAAGACATTAGACCTCAAAGAAAATTAAATTAAGACTATTAAAATATTAATAATTTGGTGACCAAACTGGTGGGGACCAAAAGCTGCAGCTCAACTCTGTTATTGTACTGACAAATATGTCACCAGACAATACTTACGTTATTTAGGTGTATTAAAAAGATGAGGAAGCGGTAAAGCCGGCGGGACGGCAGGAAGGCCAACACACCTCTTCTCTACGATCACTAAATTTCAACTGACCTTCAGTGCCCTTGAGGTTCGCCACTGTCCTGACCTTCACTATAACACCATCACTGATAACCTGACTAACTCTGACTACCACCACTAGAAGGCACTACTACACCACTACTACCGTTACTAGATGATACTACTGCACCCTCACTATTTGTATTACTCACGGTGGAGCGCTCAACCCGTAGGGGTCATGGACCACCTGGGAGGATAACTTCACTACCAGGTGACAGATCACATTCCTTGGATCAAGAGACTCTCACCATCACCTTCAAGGAACCTCACTCAAGGCCACCATTCTCACCACCAGAGGCGCTGAACTCCACTACTATTGTACCATTGGTACCAGGGCCGGATTTATAAGGGGGGAAAGAGGGCCAGAGGGTCCCCCAGACGAAGGGTTTCCTTTATAACAAATTATAATAATATAAAAAATAGTTTAATTAATAAAAGGAAATAACAAATAAAGTGTGTGTGGGGGCATCAGAAAATAGAAAGGGTGCCCCCATCCCCTCTCCCTTTGAATAACTTGACTTGACATACTATTTCTGGTTAGCGTCAGTTTAGAGGTAAATGACCAGACCATGAGGTCAGAGGTGAGCAGGGTGCACATGAGCATGTGTACTCACCTAGTTGTACTCACCTAGTTGTGGTTGCAGGGGTCGATTCATAGCTCCTGGCCCCACCTATTCACTGGCCGTTACTGTGTGTGTGTGTGCGTGTGTTTGTGTCTGAATGTGCGAGCTAGCTATTGTGTGTATGGCTTTGATTGGCTATGTCGACCTCAGAAGGGCTATTTCTGGTTAGTGTCAGTGTAGAAGTCAATGACCAACAAGTCAATTGGTGACCTGGGGTTATATATGTGTCTGTGTGTACGTTGACTGCTTTTAGTGCTAGGCAATGATGTGGGGCAGTGGTGTCCGTGTTTTAGATCTGTGTGCTGCTCACAAAGGTTTGTGATATATCATCGTTTTGCAGTTACATCTTACATACGCATACACATCCACAAACACACACACACACACAACCTATTGCACTCACCTATTTGTGGTTGCAGAGGTCGATACTTAGCTCCTGGACCCACCTCTTCACTGATCACTGCGAGGTCCTCTCCCTGCTCCATGAGCTTTATCATACCTCATCTTAAAACTACGTATAGTTCCTGCCTCCACTACATCACTTGCCAAACTATTCCACTTCCTGACAACTCTGTGACTGAGAAACACTTCCTAACATCCCTTTGACTCATCTGAGTCTTCAGCTTCCAATTGTGACCCCTTGTTTCTATGTCCCAACTCTGGAAAATCCTGTCTCTGTACCTTATCTATTTCTCGCAGTACTTTGTATTTCATTATCATGTCACCCCTAACTCTCCTGTCCTCCAGTGTCATCAGGCTGATTTCCCTTAACCTTTCTTCGTAGGACATTCCCCTTAGCTATGGAACTAACCTTTTGCAAACTTTTTCACTTTCTCTAATTTCTTGACTTGCTTGACCAGGTGTGGGTTCCAAACTGGTGCTGCATACTCCAGTATGGGCCTGATGTACACGATGTACAGAGTCTTGAACGATTCCTTACTGAGGTATCGGAACGCTATTCTCAGGTTTGTCAGGCGCCCATATGCTGCAGCAGTTATCTGGTTGATGTGTGCTTCCGGAGACGTGCTTGGTATTATACTCACCCCCAAGATCTTTCTCCTTGAGTGAAGTTTACAGTCTTTCGCCACCTAACCTGTGTGTGTGTGTGTTTGTGTCATTAACTACATTGTCATTAAATGTCAAAAAATCTGAATATTTGTTTTTTTTTTTCAGAAGACCCAGTATACCACGGAAAATTCACTTGTCAGGAGCTCAGAAAAGAAAGACTTCCAAAGAATCAAGCGAAAGAAATGCTGCTGTCTTGGCAAAGATAAAACGCCTTACAGAATTTTTCTCTGCTTCTGTAGTGGAAAACATAGAAGCTACTAATGAAGAACCAGTACCACTATCAGATGATTCTTCTGAGGACCCACCCACATTCCCAAGTACATCTGCAGAAAATGAAAATAACATACCAATTCAAGATAGTTAAGGGGATGAACCACCACAACCACATTCTACAGATACTTCTGTAGACATGAACAGTGAAGAGCCACCATGTGATTCAGACCCAGCCACGTGGTTTCCTGTCAGAGAAAAGCATGTATCCTTTTGGTCAACTGCCACCATATAGATAAATCCCGAAAGTGACACACCGAAGATATAAATAAATACACATCGGTAATTATTATATAGTGCAGATGGAATATATTACAAACTGAAAATTATAGTCAGTTATTCGCAGTCAATAAAATTGAGAATAATAAAGTCAGACGTCTTCTTTGAAACCTAACATATTTTTTTTTTCGAGAGCTGTTGTTTATCATTCATTTTTGTTCATTTCTTATTTGCAATTCAATTTAATTTCCTAGTTAGGGGTCCCCCAAACCTAAAGTGCCCCGGACCCCCCAAGGTCTATATGCGGCCCTGCATCATTCTCTGGATTGTTCCACTTTCTGACAAGTCTGTTATGAAGAAATACTTCCTAACATCCGGAAAACCTGCTCGTGAACCAGGCCTCGGGGACCTTGATCCCCAGAACACCCTCCTGGTAGACTCATCCGAATTTTCAGCTTCCAGTTGTGGCCCCTTGTTCCTGTGCCCCATCTCTAAAACATCTTGTCCCTGCCCACCTTGTCAATCCCTCTCAGTATTTTATACGTCGTTACCATGTCCTCCCTGTCCTCCAGTGTTGTCAGGTTTAGCTCCTTAACCTATCTTCGTACGACATACCACTTTAGCTCCAGGACTAGTCGTTGCAAACCTTTGCACTTTCTCTAACTTCTTGGCGCATTTGACCAAGTGTGGGCTCTATACTGGTGCTGCATACTCCAATATGGTCTTGACGTACGGTGTAGTGTTTAGATTGACTCCTTATTTAGATGTTGAAACGCTATTCTTAGGTTTGCCAAGCACCCACATACTGCAGCAGTTTTTTGATTGATGTTTGTGTGTGTGGTAGCTAATGAACATTAGAACATCAGAAAGAAGGAACACTGCAACAGGCCTACTGACCCATGCGGAGCAGGCCCATGTTTCCCCCCCCCCCGGATTAGACCAATGCCCCCCCCCGGATTAGCCCAATGACCCACCCATTATGATCATCTCCACTCAAGGATGGAGCACTGCACCAGACCCAGCAGCACAAGCTAGTCAGGTCCAACTCACACCCACCCACACCCACTCATGTATTTATCTAACCTATTTTTAAAACTACACAACGTTTTAGCCTGAATAACTGTACTCGGGAGTTTGTTCCACTCATCCACAACTCTGTTACCAAACCAGTGCTTTCCTATATCCTTCCTGAATCTGAATTTTTCCAACTTGAGACCATTGCTGCGAGTCCTGTCTTGGCTGGAAATTTTCAGCACGCTATTTACATCCCCTTTATTTATTCCTGTTTTCCATTTATACACCTCAATCATATCCTCCCTAATTCTACGCCTTTCGAGAGAGTGCAGATTCAGGGCCCTCAGTCTATCCTCATAGGGAAGATTTCTGATACATGGGATCATCTTTGTCATCCTCCTCTGTACGTTTTCATAAGAACATAAGAACATAAGAACGAAGGAACACTGCAGAAGGCCCACTGGCCCATGCGAGGCAGGTCCAAGTCCCTACCGGCTTAAGCCAATGCACCCAACCTAGTCAGGTCAGGTCACATTGACTCAAGGGAGGAACACGGCAACCGACCCGTTAGCACAAGCTATCAGGTCTAACTCACACCCACCCACATCTACTCATGTATTTATCCAACCTATTTTTAAAGCTACACAACGTTCTGGCTCTATAACGGTACTTGGGAGTTTGTTCCACTCATCCACAACTCTATTACCAAACCAGTACTTTCCTATATCCCTCCTGAATCTGAATTTTCCAACTTAAAACCATTGCTGCGAGTCCTGTCTAGGCTAGATATTATCAGCACACTATTTACATCCCCTTTATTTATTCCTGTCTTCCACTTATAAACCTCAATCATATCCCCCTAATTCTACGTCTTTCTAGAGAGTGCAGTTTCAGGGCCCTTAGTCTATCCTCATAGGAAGGTTTCTGATACATGGGATCATCTTTGTCATCCTCCTTTGTACATTTTCCAGAGAATTTATATCCATTCTGTAATACGGTGACCAAAACTGTGCAGCATAATCTAAATGAGGCCTAACCAAGGATGTATAGAGTTGAAGAACAACCTGAGGGACTCTATTATTTATGCTTCTGATATGAAGCCAAGGATTCTATTAGCTTTATTGCGAACACTTATGCACTGTTGTCTTGGTTTCAGATTACTGCTAACCAGAACTCCTAAATCTTTTTCGCAATCCGTAATATTAAGATCTACATTATTTAGTTTATATGTGGCATGGTTATTGTCCTGTCCAACATTTAGAACTTTGCATTTGTCTATATTAAACTGCATCTGCCACTTCTCCGACCACTGCATCAGTCTATTCAAATCTTCCTGGAGTGCTCGAATGTCCTCGTCAGAATGAATTCGACGGCCTATTTTGGTGTCATCGGCAAACTTGCCGATGTCGCTCTTTATGCCCTCATCTATGTCGTTTATGTAGATTGTGAACAGCAGGGGGCCCAACACTGACCCCTGTGGAACACCGCTCGTGACGCTTCCCCACTCTGATTTCTCCCCATTTATGCAAACTCTCTGCTGCCTATTTGTCAACCATGCCTCTATCCAGGAAAAAATTTCTCCTCCTATTCCATGTGCTTTAATTTTCCTCAATACGGTGACCAGAACTGAGCAGCATAGTCTAAATGAGGCCTAACCAAGGATATATAGAGTTGAAGAACAACCTGAGGACTTCTATTATTTATACTTCTAGTTATGAAGTCAAGAATTCTGTTAGCTTTATTGCGAACACTAATGCACTGTTGTCTTGGTTTTAGATTACTGCTAACCAGAACTCCTAAATCCTTCGCAATCAGTAGTATTAAAGATCTACATTATTTAGTTTATATGTGGCATGGTTATTTACCTGTCCAACATTTAGAACTTTGCATTTGTCAATATTAAACTGCATCTGCCAC